AATAAAATCTATAGTATTTAGTAAATATTTCTGATAATGTTGCAACATTTGTCGTTCTAATATTGCAATAAAAACCTATAGTATTTAGTAAATATTTATAATAATGTTGCAACACTTGTCGTTCTAATATTGCAATAAAATCTATAGTATTTAGTAAATATTTCTGATAATGTTGCAACATTTGTCGTTCTAATATTGCAATAAAATCTATAGTATTTAGTAAATATTTCTGATAATGTTGCAACATTTGTCGTTCTAATATTGCTATAAAACCTATAGTGTTTAGTAAATATTTACATTGTCGCAATAATCTTTTTTTTTTATTATCGCGCTGACTATTTATATATATATATAGTTGCAAACAATATTACTTCAGAACGAATAGCCTCCAGTGGCACAGCGGTATGTCTGGGGATTTACAACGCTAGAATCTGGGTTTCGATACCCGTGGCGGGTAGAGCCCTTGTGTAGCTTTGCGCTTAATTCCAAACAAACAATCTAACAGAACGAATTTTGTCTAACAGGTCATGGTTTTATTTACCTTTCAAACTTCTGAAGATCATATAAATTAAGACGAAAACATATTTAAACGGAATGTAAGCAAGTTAGAAGGGAAAGAGTCGTCTGGTTCAACGAACACAAAAGATACAATGATGATTTACAATTAAATGAGTTGTGACTCGGATTTGGTATGCAGTAAGACTTTGTTGTATGACATTAGATAAAGAATATGTTGAAGCGTAACGTGCTCTCACATTCAAACTACAGAACAGCCAAGGAAGGAATCAATTGTTCAATTTCTTGGTTCGTAATTCTACGAACCAGTATGCATGTTGCGAAGCTGCTTGTTTACTTCAAAATTTCACGCAAAACTATACAAAGGTTATCAGCCGTCCCTAATTTTGAGTTGACAGACAACAAGGAATGGCAAACTAGTCAACAGCACACACACTATCAACTCTCATGCGATCCATTTCTGGTCGAATAGTGCACGTGATTTAACTCGTTGTGCACCCATTGTTGTAAAGTGTTGAGGGCATTTTCGCGACAACTGGTGGCGAATCTTTAATTATCTAATACGTGCTAGTCACCAGGCTGTGTTCGGCCCTTTCTGTGGTGAAATATATATTCAGAAGTAATTATACACAGTACATTTTTTTTTGTATTGTTTGTAAGGTCAGAATGACCCGTGTGTAAAGCTAAGACGCCATACTCACTCAAAAAATTCGTAGAAGCTCGTTTAATTTTGAAAATCGTTATGTCATCATACTTTATAAATGTGGGTGGGTCAGTCATCTTTATTCCCTATATTGTCTGGTTATTATGGGAAAAATATATTACTTACAACGATGTCCCTTCAATTTTAGGCCCGACTAAAATATTCAATGATCAGTTCATAAATTAAAATATATAGATAACTCTTTCTTGTTTGTTTGTTTGTAATTAAGCACAAAGATACACGCTCAGCTATCTGTGCTATGTCCACCACGGGTATCGAAACCCGGATTCTAGCGTTATAAGTCCGCATACATACCGCTGTGCCACTGGGGGGGGGGGGTAACTCTTTCTTGTAAAAGTCAAATAATTTTACAAGCATGTAAAGTAAGTCCATGTAGTTACATAAATATGTTACGATGTCATGGTTACTTAGAAATTGCGGAAATTCCTAACCAAATAAAATCGTTCAGCTTTAAAACTTTAAACATTACGTTGTTATTGCTTTAACCACATGATTTATAAAAAGAAGAAACAAAAAACAAACAAAGAAACATGTTATAAAGTGTAACTGAAACTTCGAAATAATGACATTAGAAAAAATAGGTATAAAAAGTGTTAGGGAATTATTACAATTGCTGTTGGTGGTAGTGGAGTCTTGTTGGTTTTCTGTATTGGTGGTAGTTGAGTCTTGTTGGTTTTCTGTGTTGGTGGTAGTGAAGTATTGTTGGTTTTCTGTATTGGTGGTAGTTGAGTCTTGTTGGTTTTCTGTGTTGTTGGTAGTGAAGTATTGTTGGTTTTCTGTATTGGTGGTAGTTGAGTCTTGTTGGTTTTCTGTGTTGTTGATAGTGAAGTCTTGTTGGTTTTCTGTGTTGTTGGTAGTAGAATCTTGTTGGTTTTCTGTGTTGGTGGTAGAGGAGTCTTCTTGGTTTTCTGTGTTGGTGGTAGTGGAGTCTTGTTGGTTTTCTGTGTTGTTGGTAGTAGAGTCTTGTTGGTTTTCTGTGTTGGTGGTAGTGGAGTCATGTTGGTTTTCTGTGTTGTTGGTAGTAGAGTCTTGTTGGTTTTCTGTATTGGTGGTAGTTGAGTCTTGTTGGTTTTCTGTGTTGTTGTTAGTAGATTCTTCTTGGTTTTCTGTGTTGTTGGTAGTAGAGTCTTCTTGGTTTTCTGTATTGGTGGTAGTGGAGTCTTGTTGGTTTTCTGTATTGGTGGTAGTTGAGTCTTGTTGGTTTTCTGTATTGGTGGTAGTTGAGTCTTGTTGGTTTTCTGTATTGGTGGTAGTTGAGTCTTGTTGGTTTTCTGTGTTGTTGGTAGTGGAGTTTTCTTGGTTTTCTGTGTTGTTGGTAGTGGAGTCTTGTTGGTTTCTGTGTTGGTGGTAATGGAGTCTTGTTGGTTTTCTGTATTGGTGGTAGTAAAGTCTTGTTGGTTTTCTGTGTTGGTGGTAGTGAAGTATTGTTGGTTTTCTGTGTTGGTAGTGGAGTCTTGTTGATTTTCTGTGTTCGTGGTAGTGGAGTCTTCTTGATTTTCTGTGTTGGTGGTAGTGGAGTCTTGTTGATTTTCTGTGCCGTGCCCACCAAGAATATCGAAACCCAGTTTCTAGAGTTATAAGTCCGCAAAACTTCTCGCTGTATTACTAGGGGCTCTTCATGTAGATATTATGAAGTATGGAATGACAGATTCACGAAGTTTTTCTTATAACATTAACAATGGTCTATTTTAGTAACCTGTGTTTTATCGTCTTTTGTTATTGTTGTTGTAAGTAAAGCCAGCTTCACGAATTTTTACTTGTAACATTAACAATGGTCTATTTTAGTAACCTGTGTTTTATCGTCTTTTGTTATTGTTGTTGTAAGTAAAGCCAGCTTCACGAAGTTTTACTTGTAACATTAACAATGGTCTAGTTTAGTGACCTGTGTTTTATCATCTTTTGTTATTGTTGTTGTAAGTAAAGCCAACTTCACGAAGTTTTACTTGTAACATTAACAATGGTCTAGTTTAGTAACCTGTGTTTTATCGTATTTTGTTATTGTTGTTGTAAGTAAAGCCAGTTTCACGAACTTTTACTTGTAACATTAACAATAGTCTGTTTTAGTAACCTGTTTTTTATTGTCTCTTGTTATTGTTGTTGCATGTAAAGCCCTTCCACAATTATACCCTAGTTTCGTGTGTTTGCTTTGTTTGTGCTGCACTATTTGTTTTTATTTTAAATGATCAAAACAAGAACTTATAGTTATGGAGATAATTGTGCTCCTTATTTATTCAGGTAAATAACTGTTGTATTATCTTTATAGACACGTTAGTAGCGGCCTAGTCTACAAATCAGCTCTAACCCACAAAGATCAAATACGTCTTACTCGATAAATGCTAAGCCTTTTCTTCGATTCATACTAGGACTTCCTAAGATAATGATATTGTGTCCATCGTGGCAGCGACAAAAAATAGCACACATAATAGTTCATAGCTTTCCTTGGACGTTTAAATTGAATTGTGTAGTGGCTGATTTTGGTCGGTTTTGGTGTGCACGCCTGGATTTCGATTAGCTTGTATCTTATTTTTGTAGCAATCAAAACTAAAATCGCAATCTGAGGATCGTGGGTGCAAATTCAGTCCCCGTGGGACGTTATAATGTAATGGTCAATCCCACAATTCGTTGATGGTGGATGGTGTTGATTAGTTGCCTTATCTTTAGCCTATCACTTTTTAAATTAAATTTTTTTAGACTTCAAAACAAATAAAAGCAACGAAGGTGGATACCAAATCAATATTCTTATCGATAATTATTATTTGATTTGTTTGAAAATGAAGTATATAAACATACATAAACATTTTAGGGTAAATAATATTAATTACATAGGTGTACATATTTCTTGAATGCCTATGTTTTACTTTTTATTTGTGTAAGTAAAGCGTTATGTTAGTTAATCATTTTTACTGGCAATGTGAGATGTGTTTCCTCCAGTCAAAACGATGTAAACTATATTGTTATAACACTTTTCAACAAGGTATGATAAAGTTAAATCCACGCGGTTATTAATATTTCTAATTCACATAAACATTATATTTCTATGTGATTATAACGAACAATAAAAGATGTTGTTTTAGGCCAAAGCTACACAATGGGCTATCTGCGCTCTATACACCATGGGGAATAGATTCTAATGTCGTAAGTTCGTAAACTTACCGCTTACTCATCTGGGTACCATAAGAAAAGTAAAAATGCGTATCTGTTAAATAAAACAGATCGAACTCGGTCCAATAGTTAACATGCTGGACTGTGGATCCATGGTTCGCGCCCCAACCAAAAAAATAGATCACGCTCCGCTCCTCACTTTGAGGCCGAGATGCGTTATAAGAGCAACGGTTAAATCTCACTATCTGGTTAGAGCAGCTCATGAGTTGACGGTGGGTGGTATTAACTAGCTTCCTTCCCTCTAGTCTATCACTTCAAAATTAGAGACTTCTAGCGCAGATAGCCCTCGTGCAGCTTAGCGCAAAATTCAACGAACAACAACAACTATCAAGTGTCATTTGTTAAAACTTCAAATTTTGAAATACCAGCTGTTGTCGTAAGGGATATAGAGGCCTCTCAGTAAACATAACTTTAATTTTGTGTTGGCTAGCCATTACTTATAGAAGATTAAAGATACATAACGGCCTTCAAAATTATTGCACGTTCAATGACCCCGTTATGTTTTCTTTTTTCGACTTCGTGGATAGAATAAAACTGAAGAGCTCACGTATTAAACACTACAGTGGTTTAATATTACAGTATTAAACATTACAGTGGTTTAATATTACAGTATTAAACATTACAGTGGTTTAATATTACAGTATTAAACACAACAGTGGTTTAATATTACAGTATTAAACACTACAGTGGTTTAATACTACCGACCGTGTAAATAAAACAGTCATACTTAACACATTTGTGTTCTACCGACCATGTGAATAAAACAGTCATACTTAACACATTTGTGTTCTACTGACCGTATAAATAAAAGTCATACTTAACACATTTGTGTTCTACCGACCGTGTAAATAAAACAGTATTACTTAACACATTTGTGTTCTACCGACCGTGTAAATAAAAGTCATACTGAACACATTTGTGTTCTACCGACCGTATAAATAAAAGTCATACTGAACACATTTGTGTTCTACCGACCGTGTAAATAAAACAGTCATACTTAACACATTTGTATTTGACATTTATACGTTTTCTCCCACTTTATTCTAATTTTTTGTTCTCTTTAGGCCAGAGTCTTACACACTTGCCTACATCCCGCTAGGTTCGCATTTTGATAAACAAAACCTCACTTGTAGATATTTTGAAATAATGATAGAAAATAATAAAATATTTCTAATCCTCTTACTCCACATTGTTTCACAATAGATCACGCAAGTGTATAGCGATGGTATTTTACAAAGTGTAATTTATTAATGAAATAGCCCCCTGGTGGCTGAGCGATAAATCTGACGGCATATAACGTTAAAAAACGAAGTAACAAAGCTAATGAAATAAGACTTTGTCCATGCTTCAAATACGTTGATTTCCCGAATCTATACTTTTTGTCCTCGGGAAGATGCGTAAAACGAAACCTGTTGGAACGACAACCTATGCATTTATTGATTTGTCGTGAAGCTTTGAACATCATCCATAATTATTGTCATGGTAACGAAACGCGTTAGTCACGGTAACTTCAACAGCCCGTATATCTTCATACTCACAAGCGAGATAAGCCTACAACGGATCGAACTTGGCTAGCCATAAGGGTAGGCTAGTACTAAACCGATTAGGCCAGTAATTACATCCCTTAATTGCATGCCCGAGTGTAGTTAATAGAATTAACACATAGCGTTGAATCAAGTTTAAGTCTATGACACGTGAAGCATACTTAACACTAGATATACGCAAATAAATAACACCACGAAGTAGCTGTGACAAAGCTCATAATTTTACAAATTTATTATTGTAACATCAAGGGCGTCCGTCATTAAGGGGTACAGGGGCGACGGCCCTCAATCTCAGGCGGAAGGGCAAATGGCAGTTTTTATGAGATATTTCTAGTCATGCTGGACTAACACATACACACATTGCGTCGCAGCCCAATAGGGGAGGCAAAGACGCGCTTCGTACCGTGGGGCCGTGGGGGCGCTTTAACAACGTTTGTTTGTTTGTAATTAAGCACAAGGCTACACAATGGGCTATCTGTGCTCTGCCCACCACAGGTATCGAAACTCGGTTTCTAGCGTTGTAAGTTCGCAGACATACCTCTGTGCCACTGGGGAGGGGGGGCAATGTAAGAACGACTGTCAAACAAATCACACTATTTAACCAAAAAAAGAAAAGGTTGGCGGTGGGTGCTGTTGACTGGCTGCTTTCCTTCCAGTCTATCGGCTCAGATTTAGTAACGGCTATGCACCATTGAGAGCTCTGTTGTAGCTTTTAGCTAAAATGATTAAACTAACAACAAACTAATAAATGTTTATATTGATTTTAGATAACCACCAATATCTCAAGTTAATATATTTTTTTTATTTGCGTGTATGTCACACTACGCGAACATTGTCGTGCCGAATAAATTTTTATATCCACTTAAAACGCAACGTGAAGACGTAATTTTATTTATGACATAAACGCTCTGCACGCAAGAGATCACGTTACTAAAATTGATTGAATTCGAGTGAGAGGAATTACAGGTAAAGCAAATACTTAAGACAACTACTCATAAAAACATCAATTGAAAAGCAAGGTTTGTTATCCATGAAAAGTTAAAATTATGAGTATTTTTAACTGAATAAGGCACGGTTATTACAACGAGCGCGTTTTTTCTTTGATATTAATGAATCTGAAAATGTCTAATTATATTTACAAAAGAAAATTGTTTTGTCAACAAATCGTCTTAAAACCAGTGAATTAAGTGTTTCTTCGGGGATCGTTGCTTTCAAGTTAAAACCTACACAGAAATATAAAGTTGATGGCTTTATAGCGTGTGCGTCATCAAGGTTAACTCAGCAAAGAAATGCAAGCCCGCTTAAATATTCTTCTACTATTATTTTCTCACCATTCGATAAAGGTATGAAAGAATATTTTTTGCAAGATTTGGCACAAGAATTTGGGATTTTTACACTTGATATACCTTTGAACTAGGAATGTCCAGCTTGTAGGTTTTTGGCTCTGATTTAGAATGAAAAATGACCTAAAGTTGGTAATTGTAGGACAGGGTGTTGTGAGTATAGAGATGAGTCTTGGTAAGTGTAGAACACAGTATTTGAAAGTATAAACCTGAGTGTTGGGAAGTATAGGGAAGAGTGTTGTAAAGTGTAGAACAGTGTTGTTAAGTGTAGGACAGAGTGTTGTTAAGTGTGTGACAGAGTGTTGTTAAGTGTAGGACAGAGTGTTGTTAAGTGTAGAACAGAGTGTTGTTAAGTGTAGGACAGAGTGTTGTTAAGTATAGGACAGTGTTGTAAAGTGTGTGACAGAGTGTTATTAAGTGTAGGACAGCGTGTTGTAAAGTGTGTGACAGAGTGTTGTTAAGTGTAGAACAGCGTGTTGTTA